CCAAGCATTTTGTACTTCCCTTGATATTTAGCATATTCCCAGATAGGTAAGTAGTAGTTTAAAGTTATTGTGAAGGTGTGTTCAGTCCGAATACAGTGTTTACATGTCAAGCTAGAGGAAAGGAGGTCTTACTTAGCCTATACATGTACATATATCATAAGATAACCTATGGGAAGTAGTAGAATTGAATGTGTAGTAAATACTTGGTTCACTGAAAAATAAGTCCTAGGCTTGTCTTTGTCTCTTAGCAGTCGTTGCTGCTCCTAGGATGAAATGAAAATAAAGGAACTTTATGTCTTTTAGCATTGACTAAGGATTGCAGATCCCCCTGTGAGATAAACAACATGAGTTTGTAGACATTTGCTTCCTCTTCATATGTTAAATATTTTTTTAAGACAAACTTGAGTGGTTAATTTTAAAATATGCTTTACATTTAATAAATAAATGTTTTACATTTACTTATTTGCTTTTTTCCTCATTTGGAAAAAAAAATCTGTTTTCAATGGGGGGAAATTGTTTTCAAATAGTTGCATATCATGTCTGTGCATATATACCATTTAGACAGGGAAAATTTCCCATTATATTTCTTGGTTTGTTTCCTTATTGCAAGTATTTTGGACTTACTTCGGACTTATGGTTAGTGCTATGCTTGCTGCACATACTGCGCAGTAAAATCAACAGGCATTTACGTGTGGTTCATCTTTTCTACTTTACCCAAGTTGTTTTTGTGCTCCACCCACATTGTAATCAGTTTTGTTTTCTAAAAGTTGGGTCAGGCCATTTCCCTACCGGCATTTAAGTATATATCATAAAATTTCTGTTTAAATTATGAAACCCTTCAGAAGACATGCTGAATTATTAAGATAAAAACCTAAAACTTCTCCAGCAAGTAAGACAAACCTTGCTAGTTACTTTAGCAACTAGAAATAACGTTATAATTGACAGGAACTACAATAGAACAAATTATTTTTTTTTTACATCATAGTATTTTAAAAATTTTACTTTTTAAAATAGCCAATAATTTGGACATTTTTTTTCTTGAAGCTTCCTTTCAGTTTTGCATCTCTAAAATAATAACTTCGAAATGGTGTGCTCTTCGCATCTGAGGTAGATAAGGAGAATCAAACTGCATTCTTTAAAAAAAAAATTTTTTTTTAAAATATATATTTTTCTAAAACAGAGACAGGGTTTTACTAGGTTTCCCAGACTGGTCTCAAACTCGTGACCTCAAGTGAACCTCCTGCCTTAGCCTCCTAAAGTGCTGAGATTACAGGCGTGAGCCACCATGCCCGGCCACGTGTTGCATTCTTTAAGTTCATTTAGTTTGCTTTAAATACATGCTAGGGTGTCTCAGTTTATTGCTTCAAGAAAAATTACTAAACTAAAAGACAGTTTGAAAGAAAAAGATTTATCCATAATTCAAGCATAACTCATTCTTCCCTTGCTGTCTCTACCATTCCACCCAAGTTAAAATGTTTTTCTTTCCTTTCCAAATACTGCAAATTGAACACATAATGCTTAAAAGTATATTCTAGTAAAACAATTTATTAAGACATTCTTACAGGCTGGGTGCAGTGGCTCCTGCCTGTAATCTCCGCACTTTGGGAGGCTAAGGCGATAGGACCCCTTGAGGCCAGGAGTTCAAGACCAGCCTGGCCAACATGGTGAAATCCTGTCTCTACTAAAAATACAAAAATTGGCTGGGCGCGGTGGCTTATGCCTGTAATCCCAGCACTTTGGGAGGCCGAGGCAGGTGGATCATGAGGTCAGGAGATCAAGACCATCTTGGCCAACAAGGTGAAACGCCACCTCTACTGAAAATACAAAAATTAGCTGGGTATAATGGTACGCACCTGTAATTGCAGCTACTCGGGAGGCTGAGGCAGGAGAATCGCTTGAACCAGAAAGTCAGAGGTGCAGTGAACCGAGATTGTACCACTGCACTCCCATCCTGGGTGACAGAGTGACACTCAGTCTCAACAAAATAAAACAAACAAAAAAATTAGCCGGGTGTGGTGGTGCATACTGGGAAGGCTGAGGCATGAGAATCCCTGGAACCCGGGAGGTGGAGGTTTGCAGAGAGCTGAGATCGCGCCACTGCACCCCAGCCTGGGTTGACGGAGTGAGACTCTGTCTCAGAAAAAATGAAGAGGAATTCTTAGAGCACAGTATAATGGACTTAGATAGTGATAGAAGTTACATTGCTGTGAGTTAATGATTTACTTGTTCTGGACTATTTTACTTCTCAGCTTATGGTCGAGCTTTTTAGTATTTTCAAGTTTCTTTCATGTTACCCTAGTTGTAAAATAATTGGTCATTCCCTAATTGGCACATTTTAACTTAGTCCAAATATCATTTATTAATAAAATGATTCATAGAAATTATTATTGTTGGCCAGGAATGGTGGCTCATGTCTGTAATCCCAGCACATTGAGGGGCCAAGGCAGGTAGAGCGCCTGGGCTCAGGGGTTCGAGACCAGCCTGGGCAAGATGGTAAAACCCTGTCTCTACCAAAAAATACCAAAAAAATTAGCCAGGTGTGGTGGCACACACCTGTGGTTCCAGCTACTCGAGAGGCCGAGGTGTGAGGATCAACTTGAGCCTGGGAGGCAGAGGTTGCAGGAGCCGAGATCACACCACTGCACTTCAGCCTGGGTGACAGAGTGAGACAGTCTCACACACATACAAGTTTAAAAAAGAAAGAAATATTTTGAAAAAAGAAATTATTATCCAAATGTACTTTTGAGCACACTGTAAAATATTTGACATTTTAAGAAGTGCATGCTTTTATATGAATCTAAAATTGTATTATAAATAAGCTGTTTAAAGTTCTACTTACGTTTCAACTTTTTTAGTCTTTTTTCATTAAGAGGTTGTTACTCTGTAAAGGCAGAAATGCTTAGTGTTCTCTCTGTACCAACAGCATTAATTTCACCTGGAACCTTGTTAGAGATGCACATTCTAAAGCCTCATTCCAGACCTTCTGAATCAAAATCTGTGTTTTATTTTAACAAGCCCTCCAGGGGATTCTGATGCTTGCTGAAGTTTGAGAACCACTGCTCTAAGGCTTTGTATGTGGTAATTTCACAACAAGCTTTACATCGCCTGACTTTACACAGTGTACTTCTGATTAGTTTTTCTTTTAAAAGTTATTAAAAGCTGGACATGCTGGCTCACACCTATAATCCCAGCACTTTGGGAGGCCGAGGCGGGCAGATCACCTGAGGCCAGGATTTCGAGATTAGCCTGGTCAACATGGTGAAACCCCATCTCTACTAAAAATATAAAAATTAGGCTGGGTACGGTGGCTCATGCCTGTAATCCGAGCACTTTGGGAGGCTGAGGCGGGTGGATCACGAGGTCAGGAGATCGAGACTGTCCTGGCTAATATGGTGAAACCCCGTCTCTACTAAAAATAAAAAAAATTAACTGGGCGTAGTGGCACGTGCCTGTAGTCCCAGCTACTTGGGAGGCTGAGGCAGGAGAATCGCTTGAACCCAGGAGGCGGAGGTTGCAGTGAGCCAAGATCGTGCCACTGCACTCCAGCGTGGGGGACAGAGCAAAACTCAGTCTCAAAAAAAAAAAAAAAGTTAATAAAACATTTGGTAGGGCACAGTGGCTTGCACCTGTAAATCCTAGAACTTTGGGAGGCTGAGGCAGGAGGAATGAACGCTTGAGTCCAGGAGTTCCAGACCAGCCTGGGCAACATAGCAAGACCTCTTCTCCACTTAGAATTAAAAAAAAAAAATTCACTGGGCATGGTGGCACACGTCTGTAGTCCCAGCTACTCAGGAGCCTGTGTGGCAGGAGGATCACTTGAGCCCAGGGTTTGAGGCTGCAGTGAGCTATGATCATGCTGCCATCCTCTAGCCTGGACGACAGAGTAAGAAGCTGTTAAAAAAAAAAAAAAAATCAAAACATTTGTTAAGCCAAGTGTAGTCATTTGCACCTGTAATCCCAGCTACTCGGGAGGATAAGGTGGGAGAATCAGCTTGAGGCCAGGAGTTCGAGACCACCTGAGCATCAATAGCAAGACTTGTCTCTAAAAAGTAAAATGATTATTTAATTTTTTCAGTTATTGAGATTAGAATGCATATTACTTTATTCTTTATAGTCTTATGTTTGGGAAAATGTCGGTTCTCTGTTGCTCTGATTACTTCAGTGATGTTTGCATTATTTGCTTGGTAGAGCAAATTAAGCTTCTCCCCTTTATGACACTTCTATTTTTAAGCTAGCACATTCTCAATTTTAATTTTAGTGAAGCTGTCAAATATTTTAAAATTAAAATCATGTTTTAAAAATGTGTGGGTTACTTGTTTTAATTCCCTATAGCACAAATACCATTTTAAAATTGGCTTGGCCATCAGTATATGTATGACAAATATGAACTCTTTTTTTGAGACAGGGATTTACTGTCACCCAGGCTGGAGTGCAGTGGTTGATATGAACTCACTTTTAACACATTAAAAGAATGAATAATTTGAAACTGACTTAGTAACTGTTCTTTTAATGTCTGATATACTTAAAGGGGAGTGTTGTTTGTTTGATTTGTTCATTACTGTGTATCCAAGCACTTGAAAGTTATGTCTACAGGTTATACTTTCTGGTACTATTTTAAATAGTATATCTTAGCTAGGAGTACCTGTGAACTGAGTAACATAAAACACACCATCAGGTCAGTCTTCTTATTGACAGCTCTTTGATATGAGGAAGAATTGGATTATATAAACTAGTTTTGAATACCAAAATTAATCCGGTTTGTTACTGATCTACTCATTGATAGATACACCTGTTTTCTAAGATGTCCCAGACTTGTGCCACATCTCTCTCTACATGGACTCTGGTTTTGATTGGAATAACCTATTTATTTGTTAGTGTTAGGTATCCCTACATAATAATATGAAGCTATCCACCAAATTTCACTTGGCTGATTTTGTACTATTACTAAAATCTAGTTTTATGTGAATTCATTTTACATTTGATTATTCTTTGAATTTCAGGATGGTGAGGAAGAAGAAAATGAGAAAGGTATGTTTGATGCTGAATAGAGTTTAAAAATTGCTAAAATTTAGAAAAACAGTAAATTATGTGAAAATAAAGCACTCCTTATTTGAAATCTTATTTTTGAAATTAGTTTATTTTCAAATTTATCTATTTAGTGAATTAAGTTAGCATCTTGATTTTATTTTCCAATTGGTTTTAATTTTCTTTTGAACACTAAAGATATATTCCAACTTAATAGTACATATCAGTTACTGTAGTGAGCAATGCTATTTTTTATTTAATCCAATTTTTGTTTTTAAAATAACTTCTGGTATACGGTAAGTTGATTAAATTCTTAAGACTGACACTGCAGTAACTCATGTGTGCTTATTGGAGTCCGAGTGCATAACTCACAGTGAATTTTACAACTAGTCCTAAAAATGATGAATGACCAGGAGACTGACTTTGTGTTTGCTGCTTAGAGAAACTTCCATACGGTCATCTGACAATTTTAGTTTAGACGAGCTGTCTCATTCAATACAATTACAGGGGCAACAGTAGTAATACATGTGGTCAGTAGGAGGTTATGGAAGAGTCCTTGGACAGAAGTCAAAGGATCCTACTTTGGACTAGAAAGGACATGGAGCAGGGTTAAGCAAGGCAAATAAAAAGCCTAGAAGCAATGACGAAGTAAAGCTACTGACTGAAAATGTCACATGCCCGAAGCCTTTCTGTTTTGGGGGAATGCAAGACATCTTTGAAAATGGTAATTGCAGACTGACTGGACAGGGTGAAGACTGGAAATAACCAATTTCCTGAATGTTACGGAGCAGGAGCATCTTTGGAGCCTTCTGTACCAGTTTTCCATACGAATCTGGACTACTCAAGCATTGAAGAGTGGAAAAGATGGGGCCCTGAAATACTGTGAAGACTGATTGATATCCTCAGACTGTGACCTGTCAAGAAGTCACCATGGGAGTTCTGAAGGTCACTAGGGTTCAATCCCAGGATAATTCGAGCATTGAACAACAATCTGCACTTTTGTCACTGTCCCTTGGAGGAACAAAATCTTCCATATGCCATTAACTTATAACCAGAAATGAAGAGCTGGTATCTTCAGGATGGAACCATTTTCTCACTGTTGTTGTTTGGTGTTTGTATGTAGAGATCATTTTTTCCATGAAGAATAAGTGATCCTGGGTAAAGGATGGTTTATGTTAGTTAATACCCTTGTGTTTTTTTTTTTTTTTTTTCCTCCTAACCTTCCATCAGTGCTAATAACTGGCTTTATATTTTCTAGGTCCTATTCTAGCTTATGAATATGAAATTGTTTAAACTTCTTGTTTTGCCATATTTATTCCTGTTAAATCCTCTTAGATATAGCAGGTTCTGGTGATGGTACACAAGAAGTATCTAAACCTCTTCCTTCAGAAGGGAGCCTAGCTGAGGCTGATCACACAGCTCATGAAGAGATGGAAGCTCATACGACTGTGAAAGAAGCTGAGGATGACAACATCTCGGTCACAATCCAGGCTGAAGATGCCATCACTCTGGATTTTGATGGTGATGACCTCCTAGAAACAGGTAAAAATGTGAAAATTACAGATTCTGAAGCAAGTAAGCCAAAAGATGGGCAGGACGCCATTGCACAGAGCCCGGAGAAGGAAAGCAAGGATTATGAGATGAATGCGAACCATAAAGATGGTAAGAAGGAAGACTGCGTGAAGGGTGACCCTGTCGAGAAGGAAGCCAGAGAAAGTTCTAAGAAAGCAGAATCTGGAGACAAAGAAAAGGATACTTTGAAGAAAGGGCCCTCGTCTACTGGGGCCTCTGGTCAAGCAAAGAGGTTTGTTTTTCTATGTCAGTTCTTTACGATACTGAATTCCAGCATTCAATAAGATCACTCTACATTAAGGGGGTGGCTTCAAGAACATGTACAGTAATTAGTGTCTTATGATCCTGCCTATAATATTTTTGACCGTCATAAGTTACTTTTAAAAATTTTCAAGATCTTCATAATAATGCAGTGTGTTCTACTGATTGCATTGTCGAATGTCAGCATATATTTGGTTTTTTTGTTGTTTTTTGTTTTTTTTTTTTTCAAATTGACAATTTTTGTGTTTTATTTTTTAAAATCCTTGTGATGATGGTTAATGAACAACTATCAGTTCTAAGAACACAAAATGAAGTCAAGTCCCAGTCCTGAAATCTGGAGAAGATGGCCATATTTCCACTGAATAGAATTGTCAGAAAATCTAGATCTTCAGGCATCTTGGGGAAAATCAGTGCAAGAATCCTCAGGGAGTCATTTGTTCAAATAACCTAATCTAGGCCTTTGGAATTGTTAATTTGTATGAATAGCACTAGTTTGAAATATAGTGAATATCGAGCTGTTCTATTTTGGGTTTGGTTTTGTTTTTGTTTTCAATTTTCTTCTGGTGATTTGCCTCTTTAGCTCTTCAAAGGAATCTAAAGACAGCAAGACATCATCTAAACATGACAAAGGTAAAGGGTTTTTTTCCCTATTTATTTCAGTGTTGACATTGCATATTTTCATTAAAAAGCAGTAGTTGTGTGGTGTTTTCTTTGACATTTAGTCCTTAAAAATTTTATTGACAGGCTAGAAACTTGAGATGGTCTTTATGTAAACTGTGGAATTATATAGATTATAGGAAACTGATTGATGTGTTACTGTTTACTTACTTTGTAAACTGGTATTGGGTATGTTAAAAACCCATTGGCTAGGGAACACTTATCTGGTGTGTTCCAAGGGACTGTGTTGGATATTAATAGATATTTTCTTACATTATAATTTCAGAGCTATTTTATCTTTTGTTAACTCATTTATAACTACTGTATATCACCACAACCTTTTCCCTGTTCACAGATTATACTTTCTGGTACTATTTTGAATAGTATATCTTAGCTAATTAAATAATACTTGTGTGTATTTGTGGAGTCTAGTGGTCGTTTTTCTTTTTTTTCAATTCTTGTAAGTTTCAAAGTGCAATATTTAGTTGCTTTCTGATACTGAGAAATCTCATGCCCATGAGCTACAGTTTCATCTTGTACATGTGCTGTGTTTACTTGAAAAATACTTACTTTCTACAAAAGGATTTTAAGGGAAAATAAAACATTCAGGTACTACAAAGCTTTTAAATACCTCCTAAATGTGTAAAGGAGAATTGTATGCATCTTCTATAGGTTATTTTAAGCCAATTGGTCTTTTAAGGAAAAAAAAAATTTTTTTTCTGTAATTAGTAACATACCTGGGCCCAAATGTTACTGGTAACAAAAATGATACACAAACATTGAGTTAACATTTCATAAGGTCCTTGATGAATACCCTTTGTAAGAACAGAATCAAGTATCAACCATTAATATTTAAAATATTTGAGCCAGGTATGTGTTATCTTCTCTCCCTCTGAGTCTACGCTGAAAGTAGCTTCACAACTGTTAACACATGTAATTTTTAAAAATATCTAAAATTTTTACTCTTTCTCCATTTAATGTGAAATACAGAAATTGTTCCTTTTAATTGCTTGTATACTGTTTCTCTTAAAGTGAGTAAAAATTATTTTCCAGATAAAGTCAAGTGAATGAAAATTTCCCTTTTATTACAGCACATTTAAAGAAAAGGGTGACTGGCTAGGCCTGTATCCTAAGATATGGCCTCTATACGTATGAAGCCATAATACGTGTGTGACATAGTACAGAAATGATTCATATAATCATTTACCTGTTATAAAGGATTTTGAGATCTCTGATCTTTAATCTTGTAGTTGTTTCAGAAGATTGTTTCTTACTGACTCTAGAGTTATCCAGCTGCATATAATTCCCATTTTGTCTTACCTATTCTCTAATAGGGAATGAAGGTGTACCAGTTGGTTTGTCTTTGTTATTAACCATGTAAATTCTTGAAAAATGTATACCTTACTCTGACTTTTTCTTCTTCCATGTCAATTTCTAAGGATCTAAAGCCCACAGCAGATGTGGCAACTAAACAGTCTGTTCATTGCTAAGTGATTGCTTCCTGGTTGTCTCTATTCAGTGCAGTGGTAGACTATAAATTATTAAAACTGAACAGCAAATTGATTTTTTTACCCTCTTCAACTTAGAACTCATACAATAGGAAATGTACATACATTCAGATTTTTTTTCCCTCACTAGTTATGTTGTCTTGTTTGATTTCAATAATAATAAACACAGGATTTTTATATAGTAATGTCGTACTATCAAAATTATAGTTTGGAAAGAATGTGGCCCTTTTAATTTTGTATAAAGATTCTGATTGAGATACTTAAACATCTGATATTAAATCTATTCTAGGAAGTACAAGTAGTACTAGTGGTAGCAGTGGAAGCTCAACTAAAAATATCTGGGTTAGTGGACTTTCATCTAATACCAAAGCTGCTGATTTGAAGAACCTCTTTGGCAAATATGGAAAGGTACATTCTTTTTACCTTTTTATCCGTCTTTCTAGTATCTGCATTTGAAATGAGGATTGTATTCTAAATACTATTACATAAATATCTTCTAATTTGTTGTATCTCTTAGGACGGTTAATAGACTGAATTACTGAATTCTGTGGTAATGGTAGATGAGAGTTAAGGGATAAATAGTGTTTCATCATTTAATCTGTCTCTGAGCCTTGGGAATCTTTGTATTCCAAACTTTAAACCTATATAAGCCAAAGACTAAGTTTATTCATCATGATACTTTGTAGCACGTAGCTGGGGATCTGGCATATTGCTGAGCCTGATTTGGACATCTTGAAAAAATATATTTATATTTAGACTATTATTAGGCAGTGGGATATATAATTCATTGGGGGCTGGGGGGAACCATATACAATCCTTGTTATAGATTTCTAGTCCAGTAATGGAGAAAAATGTAAAATTGGCTATTATATAGGCATTAGAATCGTTTAAACTTATATAAAGTTATATACAAACATGTATCTATATTAAGTTTATATATAAACTTTTTTTTTTCTTTTTGAGACACAGTCTCACTCTGTCACCCAGGCTGGGGTGTAGCAGCATGATGTGGGCTCACTGTGACCTCTGCCTCCCAAGTTTAAACTATTCTCATGCCTCAGCCTCCCCAGTAACTGGGATTACAGGCATGAGCAACTGCACTGGGCTGATTTTTGTATTTTTAGTAGAGATGAGGTTTTCACTATGTTGATCAGGTTGGTCTCAAACTCCTGGCTTCCGGTGATCCACCCCTTTCTGAGCCTCCCAAAGTGCTGGGGTTACAGGTGTGAACCACTGCACTATGCCTGTGTATATAGATTTAATCAGAAGTTGTTTTAAGTGCTGCGAAGGAAAAGTACACAGGTGTTAAAAGGGGGAGGCTTTACTGTGGTTAGTTCATCAGGAAAAGTTTCTCTGGCAGTTAAGGGGAGACCTAAAGGAAGAGAAGGAGTAGTCAAAGAATACTCCATTAATAACGAATGCTTTGAATTGTGAACTGCATCCCTGAGGGCACTCAATACTGTCTACTTACATTACAGTTTTTCATATACATCATAGTTAATGTACTCCAGTGTAAGCTCTTCGAGGTCAGGGACCTTATTTACTGTACTTCATGTGCACATGATAGGCTTTCAAATACTGAAATTACTGAATTAGTGACCATTATTGCTAAATAGCCGTTAATATTATCAAAACCTGCCCTCTTGATTTTCAGAGGCTATTTTTCCTGCTTTAATTAGTGAGTTGCCTGAGTGTAAAGGAGGTTCTTGTAGGTGTCAGAAATAGAATGCTGAGAATTGTAGTCCCATGATAGGCTATGTTATTTTTTCTTCTGTTTTCAATAATATATTGTTAGAGATGTGAAAACAATATTTTAATGTTGATATTTATTAGTAGTAAAACTATATGCGGATACCATATATTTGGTAGGAAGACCCATAGAGTTAAAAATTAAATGGCTGTGGGGCAAATCAACCTTTCCTAGGGTTGAGGTAAAAGTTGGTTGGTTCCAGCCACCCACACCATAAAACTCCTGATTTTCCTGTTTCCTTGTTCGCAGCTTTATGTCTTTACTCTGTTCAGCACTGAATCGTTCTCTCTCACTTTTCTTCTCACTCATCCATACCTGCTTTGTCTCTCTTAACTACCCATCTTACAGAATTGAAATTATTTGTCATTTTCATATACATTTGAAAAGCACATAGATTGAAAATATTGTCTTTCAAGATTTAGCGTGTTTTTCGGGGGGTGCATTTTTAAGTCTGCTTTTTTATATGTGATTGGTTCTTTACTCATCATAGAAAAGTATCAACACTCATCATTAAAATACTGGAAACTTTTTCTCTAAAGACATTCATGGTGGGCCTATGATAGGGATATTTTGGTTCAAATCCAATTTATTTGCTTTTATTAATTGTGCAATTACTTCACTGATGAGATTGTTTTGGCTACTTTGGCTACATATTTGAGGGGAGGAAATAAATATAAAAAGAAGGTTAAATTGCTTTTTGGCACTTTAAATTGTTCCCCTGAATATTTATTAAGATGGATAATGTAGATGGTGATCACAAGAATATGAAATAGGCTGGGTGCAGTGGCTCATGCCTGTAATCCCAGCACTGTGGGAGGCCGAGGTAGGCCGATCACCTGAGGTCAGGCATTTGAGAACAGCTGGCCAATGTGGCGAAACCCTGTCTGTACTAAAAATACAAAAATTAGCAGGATGTGGTGGTGCATGCCTATAATCCCAGGTATTTGAGAGGCTGAGGGAGGAGAATCGCTTGAACCCAGAAGGCAGAGGTTGCAGTGAGCCGAGATCACACCACTGCACTCCAGCCTGGGCGACAGAGTGCGACTCCATCTCAAAAAAATATATACATATATGAGAAACAGAATAAGATACACCCTGAATTAATACATAGTTTCCGTTTTGAAGTTTCATGTATTTAGAAGTGTGTGTAGTTGGAACTAGAAGTGTGTGTAGTTGGAACATTGTAAAACTCTCTAAAGTACAGTCTCATTTTGTAGGTTCTGAGTGCAAAAGTAGTTACAAATGCTCGAAGTCCTGGGGCAAAATGCTATGGCATTGTAACTATGTCTTCAAGCACAGAGGTGTCCAGGTGCATTGCACATCTTCATCGCACTGAGCTGCATGGACAGCTGATTTCTGTTGAAAAAGTAAGCTTGCCTAACTGTTTATCCAAGCAAGTCGAATTTGATGGCTAGTTCTCAACTCATAGCTGTTAACAGTAGCAGGGAGTAGAATTTGCAATTATTTTTAATTTTTATGTGTTTGTAGTTTTTACTTTCCTTATAATTTTCTATCTTTTCCAGATTTTCTGCCATTAACACACTTTTTATAATCACAAAAATGTAACCATATGTATAAATTGTTTTTCTGGTTCAAACCTTTCAGGTAAAAGGTGATCCCTCTAAGAAAGAAATGAAGAAAGAAAATGATGAAAAGAGTAGTTCAAGAAGTTCCGGAGATAAAAAAAATATGAGTGATAGAAGTAGCAAGTAAGGATTTATTATTTTTATTTATTTATTTCGATAAACAGACTTTTTTGATACATTATGAAGTACTCATTCTGGTTTTTTTGTCTGGGGTGGTATGGTCAGGACACAAGCCTCTGTCAAAAAAGAAGAGAAAAGATCATCTGAGAAATCTGAAAAAAAAGAAAGCAAGGATACTAAGAAAATAGAAGGTAAAGATGAGAAGAATGATAATGGAGCAAGTGGCCAAACATCAGAATCGATTAAAAAAAGTGAAGAAAAGAAGCGAATAAGTATGCCATATATCTTTTCAATCCCTTTCTAATGCATTCTACTGCTTAATTTTTACAATGGAAGGGAAAACCTGAAATTATAATCCAGAGGTGTAAGCTTTGTTGTTAGGTGTCATTGTGGTAGGAAAGGAGGTCTAGTAGGAGTAATTGTCTTCTTTTCTACTCTGGGGAAACAGACAAATGTTTTCTTCCAGCTAACCTCCTTTGCTATTCTGGGCTGACTTAAAATGGTCATTGATTAGTACTATTGAATTAGGATCTTTTGGTATCACTGAAAGTATTTATGTGAGCAGACTGAACTGTTTAAAAAACTCTTTGCATTTAAGTTCTTGTAGAATAAGTAGGTTTTTTATTTCTTGTATTGGTGTGTGACTATCAGAAGTTAGCATTTTTACATACGTATTTTCTTTTTCAATGATAATTTTTAGACATTAATTTTATATAATTTTTTTCCCTTAGGTTCAAAGAGTCCAGGACATATGGTAATATTAGACCAAACTAAAGGAGATCATTGTAGACCATCAAGAAGAGGAAGATATGAGAAAGTAAGTCTCTGATCAGGATGGCTGTATACTACTTCAGCTGTTTACAAAAGAAGATAATTCTGTTATTCCGTAACCATCTTTGCATATTTGCATGCTAGCAAACCCAAGAAAAAGGAAATGTTACTAGTTATTTGAACTTTTTAAATGACCTGCTAAACTTGAAAAATAAAGCCCCAAAATATTTTAATTCTAGTGTTCTTCTAATTTTTTTCTATAGATTCATGGGAGAAGTAAGGAAAAGGAGAGAGCTAGTCTAGATAAAAAAAGAGATAAAGACTACAGAAGGAAAGAGATCTTGCCTTTTGAAAAGATGAAGGAACAAAGGTTGAGAGAACATTTAGTTCGTTTTGAAAGGCTGCGACGAGCAATGGAACTTCGAAGGTAGGAAGAGGGTCTGTTTTATACCTGTCGTTAAATATAGGTAAATATTTAACACTGGTTATAAGCCAGATTTCTGGAAATTGTATTCTCACAGAAAACTGTTTAACACCTTAAAGAAGTACGGTAGCATCTAATGATTTCTTAAGTTTGCATAGCACTTTACAATTTACAAAGTGCTTTCCGTCTGTTATCTCCAACTCAACATTTCTATAAGGCTAGTTATGCCCATTATACAATTGAAAAAAGTGGAGGCCCAGAGAGGCTAAATGACTCTTCCAATGCCCACATGGCTAACAAGTGGCAGAGTCGGGACTCAGACCCAAGTCTTCTGACTCCAAGTCCAATGCTCTTTCCTCAACACCAGAGCTGCTGCCATAAAAAACACGACTTTAAAGGAAAAATTTGAGATAAGACAGTTTCAGAGTAGCTATAGTGTTCAAATACTGTAATCTGACATTTTAACAAATTTAGCAAAAATTTATTGTTTGTATTAGTGCCTAAGAGAAGGAAGATTTGCCCTGTGAGCCTAATGGTATTCAGATTGTATCCCAAAGCAAGCATTCTCTTTAAAACAAATGGAAAATATAAACAAAGCAAGATGTTTCCATTTTTAGTGGCCATATCTCAACAGTTCATCATGAGTGTCAGTTTACTTTTGTATATCAATTTTTGGATGCCACTTAAAATAGTCTTGTGGGTGTGTTTTGTAGTATATTATTTCAAATGTTAACCTATCTTGTCCAGGGGTTACTTATCATGGGATTTCATCTATTCATTCATGAGAGTGTTGGGAACTACCAGAGATACTTTTAGCAACTTAGGTTATTCTGCATAATAAGTGACACACAACTTTACTAAAAGGAAGTAATCCTTATAGCACATAGAACCCATTTTTTTTTTTAAGATGAAGTCCAAATGTGCCTAGCTTCCTGTTTATTTAGTTGACAACAGATTGAGAGGAGAGTGGGATTGAGGGGCAACTAGACCAGTGATTCTCAAACCCTATGAGACCAAAATCCCTTTTATATTAAAAAATGTTGCAATGCCTTTACTCTCCTGAAATGAAACTGATGCGTAACATACTTAACCTATACTAATAATTTCCAAAAATAAAAGTAATGGCTTAACTATAATATAAAGGAGAAATAAAAGTAATTTATAATAAAAATATGTATTCCAGATAGGAATGTTTAGGCATGACTTAATGAAGTAGTCAGATGTTTGCATCCCTATTTAGACTCACTGAGAATGGGACAGCTCCAAATACAGACTGACATTGTATGTCAGTTGATATGTTGTATTGGTTAGTAAATACCAGAAGTAGTGTTGACATTATGACATGATTTCTGAAATGGTGAGCAACTCTTGGTAAAAGTCTCAAGAAAGTATAATTTTCCTTCTATTTATATGGAGTTGCATTATTGGAAATTCTAAAATACATAAATCATATCAAAGCAGACAAACTTAGTATTTATTAAAAATGGGGTTGAGTTCTAGACTCACATGTTATTTTTGCTTAAGGCATTTGGTTGTTTTTAATGGTGTGAATGTCCATTGTGGCATCTGAAAGGTATGAGAAGTGTTGGATGGTTCTTACTGTGTACGACTATCCTCACTATTCCATGCATCAGTAAGATGCTTAGATTCCTTCATCCTCGTACACTAAATGCTAGTATCTGCCCCATGGTCATTGTGATAATTAAAAATACCCCATTGATTTCTGTAGAAATAGTACTGACCCATTGAGAATCACTGCGTTACTAGAGAAAGACATGCCAATGATAGGCAGAAAAGGACACTGACTACCTTACAGTAAGAAAATAACATTAAAAGTCTAATACAATAACAATTCAGTTCAGCAAACAGTTGAACTACCTCTGACTCAGAAAACACACTACCTGGAGCCATCTATTATAGGATAGTAAACATTCCAAAATAGCCCTTAAAGACACCATTTTGTTGTATGTAGTATTTGCTATTGTTGATGTTCATTGTTATGATCCCAAATCATCAAAATAAAGTATATACTTTGTTTAAGGAGATACAATAGAATATATAATAGGCATTAGAGCTTTTTCCATTAAAAACAGGTGTTGGAAGTTGTAGTTTTGTAAATTTATATATGCAGATTTCATCCTTCTAAAATGTCAATTAATTAATGGACTATTATTATAGTGATTTTTATTTAAACAGGAATCATCTAAGAGGCAACTACTCTATATTATAAAATTTAGCTGCTCAGTTGACAGTCTTATTTATAAATAAGTGAAAATATTGGGATCTGTTTAAAGTTTTACTTTGAATTCTCTTTCCAATTACATTAAAACTACTTAGATTGAGTTGAAATTTTAAATTGCCAACCTCAAGGAAAAATTCAAATTCAAAGCTATTCTCTTTCACACAGTGCTAGCATAATTTAAGTATTTCTAAATACTGATTTTTGGTAGACGAAGAGAGATTGCAGAGAGAGAGCGTCGAGAGCGAGAACGCATTAGAATAATTCGTGAACGGGAAGAACGGGAACGCTTACAGAGAGAGAGAGAGCGCCTAGAAATTGAAAGGCAAAAACTAGAGAGAGAGAGAATGGAACGCGAACGCTTGGAAAGGGAACGCATTCGTATTGAACAGGTGCAGTCAGAAAATCTTTTCATCTTAAATAACTCACCTTTTTCAAACTCTGTGATTTTAGCCCTAAAATTTGCTTTACTTGTTGTAAAGCGTCTATAGAATGAGTTTAGCTAATGAGCTTTTAAGTGTCCCTGAAAGATAACAGTGAATTAGGTACTAGTTAAAAATACAGTTCGTAGTGACTTTGTTCTAGATAACTGGTAATAATTCTAGCTCTGCAATATCATGGCAGCCTAATAGTCTGAGCATAGGACTATGAGTCCAGAGTAGTTGTAATCCAGGCTCTGTCACTATCCCACTCTTAGAAAATAATAATGATTTCCTTACATATTATAGTGGGAATGATTTCCCAAGGCTGGAAGGAAATAATGCCTCTCTTTGCAGAATTGCATCTCAGGGTTTTAAGGCACTTAGTCTCCATACATATTAAGAACGCTATTTCTAATTCCCTTTAGGTGCTTTTATTTTAGTTGAATGATGAAACTAAACTTGACCTTCCCAAATACTTGCCAACTTTCACCACCCAGTCCTTGTTATTTTTAATGTTGCAGAACAATAGCTATAGCCTAGATTATTGAAATCAAATTTAGGTGTCATAGGTTTGTGTTTTGCCTGGTCTTTGCTTATGATGGTTTCTTAGCGACAGGATTAAAACAAGGTTGCATGTATACTTATCTTATGTTTTCATTTTGCCTTGGTTGGTTCTTCCTTCTGTGTTGTCTGAAGGAACGTCGTAAGGAAGCTGAACGGATTGCTCGAGAAAGAGAGGAACTCAGAAGGCAACAACAGCAACTTCGTTACGAACAAGAAAAAAGGAATTCCTTGAAACGCCCACGTGATGTAGATCATAGGTAGTTACTCACTTTATTCCTTAACAGTTACACTTGCTGTTTTATTCCCTTTAGGCTAAGACTAGAGAATTAGAAAGTATAGACTCCCATCACTGAAATAAAAGTCATGATCAACAGGGATGGGAAGGATTACAGTACTGGGGTAGACCCAGTGCACTGGCAAGTGGGAACAGTCTGCATTTCTTTCCCTGTCTACCTTTCTGATGCCAAACGTTTTTCGTTATGACTGGAAATACATTGTCGTAGTAGGCTTCAATAATAATTAAACAGATTTTGAACATTCTTAAAAAGGTAGTGCAGATAGTATAGAAATGGAAGTCATAAACTTGAGATGGAAAGATACATTCTGTTGTGTGCTTGGATTCATACTTCATTTAGATTTAAAAATATAAGTATGCCCATTTAATTTTCTTAACATAAATTCTATTAAAATGAGTTGATTGTGTAGAGAAATAGGTGGAATGAATGAACTGTGCTTCTGACTTGCCACTCTAATGTTTCCAAAGTTAGGGATAACTGAAGAGGTTGTGAACTGCTGGTTAGAATTTTATTATAAAGTGGTTTCAAGTATTTTATTTGTCTTTTCCATTTAATAATTATAAGACATGCAGTTTTTCAACTATTTTTCTCTCCCGTTAAATTCCTCTCACACTATTTGACTTTACATAATTCAACAATTAAGTCTTTGCTAGTTTGTACTCCTGAGTGTGTTATGTCTTGAGTTTATTAGCCCTGTTGTGTCCACAGTTCTAACATGTGGTATGTATGACTCCAAGTAAATGTTGTTTGATTACTGTAGAACTAATTTATGTAAATGAGCAAATATTTCTCTTCAAGGCGAGATGATCCTTACTGGAGCGAGAATAAAAAGTTGTCTCTAGATACAGATGCACGATTTGGCCATGGATCTGACTACTCTCGCCAACAGAACAGATTTAATGACTTTGATCACCGAGAGAGGGGCAGGTTTCCTGAGAGTTCAGCAGTACAGTCTTCATCTTTTGAAAGGTAGATATGTTGAAAATTGTTACATTTATTCTATGAGCCTTGCTAGTGATAACTCTGTTTCTCCTAAAATCTTCATTAAGAAGTACCAGGTCAGAACTGAATGCTCAGAACAAATTATATGGTTTTTGTTTCTGTTAATGGGAATGTGATTCAGTATTCCAAACTAATTAACTAGAACACCATTAAGTAGGTTGGCTTTATCTTCTTATCTTTATTTTATTTTTATTTTTTTTTGAGACAGGGTCCCACCTGTCTCCCAGGCTAGAACACAGTGGTGCAATCTTGGCGTACTGTAACCTCTGCCTCCTGGGTTCAAATGATTCTTGTGCCTCAGCCTCCCAAGTAGCTGGGATTATAGACATGCACCACCACCGTGCCCGGCTAATTTTTGTATTTTTAGTAGAGATGGGGTTTTGCCATGTTGGCCAGGCTGGTCTAGCACTTCTGGCCTCAAGTGATCCACCCACCTCGGCCTTCCAAAGTGCTGAGATTACAGGCATGAGCCACCGCGCCCAGCCTCTTCTTATCTTTAAAACTGTGGGAGCACTGATCGCTTTGGATGTGCCTCAACTGTTAAGAACAGTAAAACATTCTTCAGCTTGGTAGCGACTTTGAGTGTTTGGTATCATTTCTCCTGAACACTAAGAAAACCAACCTTAGGCTAGACACTTAGTTCAGTTTGAAAGAAAATGAGTTGTAATAATCAATGACTAGCTTTTTTCCATGGCTTTGCCTTAAGTTCATTTTTTGGTTTCATCATTATAGGTTATGCAGACAAAGTTAAGAAGAATTAAGCACTCAAGTAAGCACTTCTTGGACCTATATTCTTTGTTTCTAATCAATAGGCGGGATCGCTTTGTTGGTCAAAGTGAGGGGAAAAAAGCACGACCTACTGCACGAAGGGAAGATCCAAGCTTCGAAAGATATCCCAAAAATTTCAGTGACTCCAGAAGAAATGAGCCTCCACCAAGAAACGAACTTAGAGAATCAGACAGGCGAGAAGTTCGAGGGGAGCGAGATGAAAGGAGAACGGTGATTATTCATGACAGGCCTGATATCACTCATCCTAGACATCCTCGAGAGGCAGGGCCCAATCCTTCCAGACCCACCAGCTGGAAAAGTGAAGGAAGTATGTCCACTGACAAACGGGAAACAAGGTAGCTGTGTACTTCATAATGCTTTCCTAGTGGTCTCATGCCTTGGGGTTAAAAAAATTACAGTTTTGATCATGTATGTTTTTATGTTTTGTTTAACAGAGTCGAAAGGCCAGAACGATCTGGGAGAGAAGTATCAGGGCACAGCGTGAGAGGTGCTCCCCCTGGGAATCGTAGCAGCGCTTCGGGGTACGGGAGCAGAGAGGGAGACAGAGGAGTCATCACAGACCGAGGTGGATCACAGGTAAATGCTGCGAGAGGCTTGCCTCCAGCCTGCACACATACATTTAGAGGATTCATGAGCTACTCTGGATATACAGTAACATTTTGATATGGCCTAGCTAGATTGGAATGATTGAGAGGCATTAATTTTTAATTTTAATTTTTAAAATTAATCTGAATTTTTCTCATACTTTATTGTCAGAGTTGACCATCAGTAGTCCAAAGAGTTAAGGTACTAGCCTTGAAATACTGCATTTTGATTAAACTTCCTAGTGAAATTTAAGAATTGTTAATTTGATAAATGAGCCTGTCTAATGATAACTTTGGTTTTATTTCTTTTTAAGAAATTGAGGCTTTCAAACTGGATCTGAAATCTGTGACCTCTATTTGTGTTTCCTTTTCACTTTTTCCTTCTTAATAAAATATTCTTGACCAGGCATGGTGGCTCATGCCTGTGATCCCAACACTTTTGGAGGCCAAGGTGGGCAGATTGCCTGAGCTCAGGAGTTTGAGACCAGCCTGGGCAACATGATGAAACCCCATCTCTACTAAAAATACAAAAATTAGCTGGGTGTGGTGGTGTGCGCCTGTAATCCCAGCTACTCTGGAGGCTGAGGCAGGAGAATCGCTGGAGCCCAAGAGTTGGAGGTTGCAGTGAGCCAAGATGGCGCCACTGCACTCTAGCCTGGGCTACAGAGCCAGACCCTGTCTGGGGAAAAAAAAAAAAATATATATATATATATATATGTGTGTGTGTGTGTGTGTGTGTATGTGTATATGTATATATTTGTATATATATGTATAAACACATACATCTTTTTCTGCTGCTTCATTTAAGTAGCTTAAAGTGTAAAACTGAAATAGAGCTTTGTCTGGTTTTTGTCTTCTTATCCTAAAGATAGATGAGTGTAACGTTACATATTTTTAAATTTTTATTCTTGTGATACTTATATTGACTTGAATATTTTGTAAGTTAATGAGCTGGACAGAGGAAAGTATCTTCATCTGTTAGAGACTGAAATGAACAAAAACCTTTTGCCTCATTTAAAAGTATTCTACTGATGAAATACTGGCATATGTGTTGATAGTAGCACAGGTAGGACATACTTTCATAAATTATATACCAAAAAGAATTGTGCAGTGTGTGTGTCTCCATTATATGCTGGTGTTTGTTTTGTATTTTAATACATATTAGTGTGTTTGTTTATTTGTTTTTGAGATGGAGTCTCACTCTGTCACCCAGGCTGACATGCAGTGGCATGATCTCGGCTCACTGCAACCTCTGCTTCCCAGGTTCAAGCGATTCTTTTTCCTCAGCCTCCCGAGTAGCTGGGACTACAGATGTGCGCCACGACCCCTGGCTAATTTTTGTATTTTTAGTAGAGGTGGGGTTTCACCATGTTGGCCAGGCTGGTTACAAACTTCCGACCTCAGGTGATTCACCCTCCTCTGCCTCCCAAAGTGCTGGAATGAATGACAGGCATGAACGATCACGCCCACCCCCTAAACAGAATTTTTAAGACTGAGTGTATAATCCAGATAAGTCTGCCTTGTTTACAGTAAAATTTAAGAAAGTCTCAAAGACCAGCCCTCTGCATTCAGATGTCCTTTTAGAAAATGTGTCCTGAGGAGGAGATCTTGTATCCTCCCTTGAAAATTTTCTTTTTCATAGTGTTAGTCTGTAAATTGTTCTGCCACTATTATATCTAAGCCTCTCTGTGGGTACCTTCTGCTTTCTTTCCTGTAAGCTAAGTATCACAATGCTTGCTTTCTCTTTCCTTAGATCCCTAGTTCTACAGTTTCTTTCTTCGTGTTTGCTACTCTGTTTTCCGTAGTTACAGATGTAGCACCTTGTAAGTGCCATAGCACTAACTAGTACGATGTAAAATAAGTTGACAACTCCTGTTTTCTGTGCTGTTTGCATGTTGTCCTGATAGGCTGATCATAGGCCCCACCGTGGCTTGTCTTAAGGTTTTGATCTCTGTCTGTGCGTTCTTACAGTCAATATAAGATCCAAGTATTTGAAATAATCAAGGGTCAAAAAGCCCTTGGGTGCTAGAAAATATAGAAATAGAAATTAATGTCCAGCCCTGGTGGCTCATGGCTGTAATCCCAGCACTTTTGGAGGCCAAGTCAGGAGGATTACTTGAGGCCAGAGGTTCGAGACCAGCTTGGACAATATAGTGAGACCCCATCTCCATAGGAAAATTAAAAAATTAGCTGGGCATGGTGGTGTGCACCCTGTAGTCCCAGCTAGGCAGGAGGCTGAGGCAGGAGAATTGCTGGAGCCTAGGAGTTCACAGTTGCAGTGAGTTATGGTAGCAACAGTGTTGCTCCAGACCTCAGTACCAGCATCTGCTCCAACCTAGGCAGCACTTGATCGTGTCTCCAAAAATTATTTTTAAAAACAGGAATTGGCTGGGTACGGTGGCTCACACCTGTAATCCCAGCACTTTGGGAGGCCGAGGTGGGCGGATCACGAAGTCAAGAGATCAAGACCATCCTGGCGAACATGGTGAAACCCCGTGTCCACTAAAAATACAAAAATTAGCTGGGCACGGTGGCACATGCCTGTAGTTGCAGCTACTTGGGAAGCTGAGGAGGAGAATTGCTCCATCCCAGGAGGTGGAGGTTGCAGTGAGCCGAGATCGCACCACTGCATTCCAGTCTGACAGCAAAGCGAGACTCCATCTCAAAAAACAAAACAACAACAACAGAAAGTATTGAATCATTTCCTCCATACCCTTCCCTGAAGCCTGAGTAGCTTCTCACTACAAAATAGATACAAACTCTTTCCATATGCTGTTGCACTACTCATCCTTTTATCTTCTCAGACATCTTATTAATTTGCTTCTGACATTAAAAATATAAGTTGGTATGAGACCGAGACTGAGGGTGTCGTGATTTTTTTTTTTTTTTTTTTGACATGGGGTTTCACTATCGTTGCCCAAGCTGGAGTGCAATGGCGTGATCTCAGGTCACTGCAACCTCCACCTCCTGGAGTGTGCAAGTGATTCTCCTGTCCCAGCCTCCTGACTAGCTGGGATTATAGGTGTGGGCCACCATGCCTGGCTAATTTTTTGTATTTTTAGTAGAAATGGGGTTGCACCATGTTAGCCAGGCTGGTCTCGAACTCCTGACCTCAGATGATCCTCCTGCCTCAGCCTCCCAAAGTGCTGGGATTACAGGTATGAGCCACTGCGCCCACCCAAGTGACTTTTCATATGCTATTCTTTTAGCACTATCCTGAGGAGCGACATGTGGTTGAACGCCATGGACGGGACACAAGCGGACCAAGGAAAGAGTGGCATGGTCCACCCTCTCAAGGGCCTAGCTATCATGATACGAGGCGAATGGGTGATGGCCGGGCAGGAGCAGGCATGATAACCCAACATTCAAGGTAAATAACTACTAACCAGTTTAGACTTTTTCTGCCAGCACACAACCAACACTTGATCGTTTCCATAAAAGTCATTATAGTTTCTGAGAGACTGAACTGCAACTAGTGAAAACCCTAGGTCGGCCTGAACATTTCCCTGTATCAACTCAGAGTCTCCAAAAGACTGTGTGCAGAACAGCTGATATTAATGTGTTACTTTGTATTCTGCCTTGTAAATGAATTCAGTCACGTTCTGGCAAGTTGATCTAGATATGGGTATGTATGTATGGTAGGATCCAGTAGATAATGAATCCTTTTGTTTTGTTTTTTGTTTTTTGAGATGGAGTCTCACTCTGTCGTCCAAGCTGGAGTGCAGTGGCGAGATCTCGGCTTACTGCAACCTCCGCCTCCTGGGTTCAAGCAATTCTCTCATGTCAGCCTCTCAAGTAGCTGGGACTACAGGCATGCGCTACCATGCCCAGCTAATTTTTATATTTTTAGTAGAGACGGGGTTTCACCATGTTGCCCAGGCAGGTCTCGAACTCCAGACCTCAGGTGATCCGCCTGCCTCAGCCTCCCCAAGTGCTGAGGTTACAGGCGGGAGCCACTGCAACCAGTCTAGATAATGAGTCTTAACCTCACATTGGAACCATCATCTTGTTCCCTACCTAGCATTCCTCAAATTCTTAGGAAGAAAAAACTGAAAGTGTGTTCTGTTTCCTCCCTGTTATTTAAAATAACTCCTGGCAGAGCTTTTAGACATTTAACACAAAATCTATTCATACGTTAAGAGGCGAGCTTTACTTTCTCTTCACACCGAGGTCGGATGTGGCCCTTCAGCCAGCAGGTCTTCAGCTTCCCCATCTCTTTCACGTCCTCCTTTCTTTCCCATTCCTCTTAGGAGAGATACTGACTTGACTCAGTGACCCAGGTCACTATTATTCCATGGTCACTTCTACCATCAAACTTCAGTAAGTGTGCTACTTCTGCCTGCACAAGCTCAACATTCATTGTATCCGGTTTGTAAAGGTCACTGATGACTTTTCTCCTGATAAATATAGATTCTTTAATTTTCATGGTTTTCGACTTGTTGGTGGTTAAACACTGTTTCACATGGTCGTTTATCTTTATTTTGAGGGAGTCTGTTTTCTAGGGCACCATCACTTTCTTTCTGCCCTTGTGACTGCCTTTGCAGGCTCCTTCCCATGGCTAAGCTTTAGACACTGCTGTTTCCTTTCAGCTTCATGTTGCCACTGCCATGTAAGTGCTTTGCTGCATCTATGAATTCAAGGTCACAGTCAAACTCATTCTTCTCCTGTTTCAAACCTTTGTGTCCCTTTTGTTGCCTGCAGCTTCTTTTAATTTGATAATGCCACCATCCATTTCACTCACCCTGACTGGAAAAACGGGACTTGTCCTTACCTTTCTTCATTCCTACCATAAATTTCTAAGTGTGGTTCTTTTTTTTTTTTTTTTGAGACAGGGTCTTGCTCTGTCCAGGCTGGAGTGTAGTGGCACAGTCTCGGCTCACTGCAACCTCTGTCTCCCAGGTTCAA